ATTTTCGTTTTGTATGTTTTATATTATTTTTATTCTATATTATGTTTATTTATTATTTAATTATTTATTTACTATACTATAGATAAAATTATGACTAGTGACTACTCTTTAATATATTTTTATTCTATCTATCTTTGTGAAGGTGGTGGAGTAAAGGGTGTCTCTTCATAATTTCGTACGTATTCATTTCTATTGGGTGTCCTATATCTAACTATTCTGCCGGGTAATTCCATGACTTCTGTGGTCCTGATATACTTGCATTTTATCATTACATAAATTGCTATTATTAGTATGAGAGACAACGATGCTAGTAATATTATTACATATAATAAATTATTGTGTATAAATTATATTCATATTAAACTAAACAATCTTATTATATTCTTATAAAATTAAAACCATCTTACATAATCCGATATATCTCTAGTATCGTGCATAAATCTCATATAATCTATTAATCGTTTACATAAGGTATTTGTGGGTGTCACTGAATCTGATGATATAATTAGTGTTAGAATTCGCGTAATTTTCGTTATTTCGAGAGTACTAAATGGTTCTTCCATAAAATTATTCGCGGTATTAATATGTCCTATTAAACACCTCGGCGTGTGTTCCGGTCCTAAAGTATATGTTTCATGGATTTCTTGTTCAATCGCCATTCCTAGTTCCACTATGAATTTTCTTTGTCTGTTCCTAAAATTAAAATTTATTTTTATCGTATTTATTTTTTTATTATTTTTAAATTGGTTGTATCGTGGTGGTTTCCATTTATTATTTCTTTCTCCGGTTTCAAAATGAATGTTCTGTTTCTATCCCTAAAATTAATATAATTATTCTAACTTAATATTGCTATATATTTATTGTCTTTATTATTACTATATTTTTTTTTAATTGACCTACGCGTCATTATAATATTTTTTAATTAAATGATCTCTAGCTATCTTATGCGATATTTGCATATTTTTTTAGATCGAATATATAATCGTCGTAATTGTAACGTGGTTCAGGTTTGGCCTTCGAGTTACTCGGTACCTCCAATGTACATCTGTAAACTAATGCGTATGGTTGAAAATTAGTAGAAGTATGTACTGTTGAATTATATACAAAGAACGTAAAGGGTAATAAATGATCCCAATTATTTAAATTCTTATCTACATAATGCCGTAAGTACTCGGCTAAAGTCCTATGAGCGCGCTCTACGGGGTTACCCTGCGGTCTGAATGAACTTGTGTTAACCTTTTCTATTTTTAATATTTTACAAACATTTGCAAACGTTTTCGTGAGGAAATTAGTTCCTTGATCCTTGAGTATTGTTTCTGGTATGCCGTGTACACAAACGAAGTGTGTAACAAAGGCTTCCGCAACAGTATTTGCCTTCTGGTCAGGAAGTGGAATTCCTAAACTGTAACTTGTCAAATCGTCCTCCATCGTTAAAATGTATACATTATTGGACAGTGTAATCGGCAAAGGCCCTACTGTATCCATAAATATTTTTTCGAATGGTTTAGACGAAGTGGATGTAATAGCCATTGGATGTTTTATGTGCCGATTTGATACCTTATTAACCTGACATGACGCACAATTCTTCATATATTTTCTAACGTCTTCTTTCATACCCTTCCATAAGAATTGTTTTTTAATGCGCTTAATGGTTTTATTCACACCTAAATGTTCGCTTAGTTTTGAATCGTGAAATTGTAATAAAATGATTGCTTTTTCTTCTGCATTATATTCTATATTTGCACATATAATTATTTCTATATCTGTTTTGCAAAATATGTATTGTAACATTGACCTTATTTTTTCCCATTCTAAATCATCGTGATCGCCTAGCTTGCCCATGGCTAATTTATTCAGATTGTTTTCCTTACAAAATAGTTTTAAATTTATTAGTGATACATATATGCTTTCGTAAGTGGTCGGTCTTTATTTTTCGTTACTAAGAATATTATAAACTTGTTTTCCTGTTTGAAATAGGGTGTGTCTCCTATTACTTTACTAGTCGGCAATGTTGTACCGTTTCCGAATTGTTTTTTCAACTGATAATTTGTTCCTGTCCTAAAATTATATTGCTTGGCAATTTCTGATACTATATTATATTCTATTGGTAAATCTATTAGTGTACCTATAGGTTATTTTACATTAATATTTGTGATAATTTGTGTTCCTAACTTTTCGATATATAATTTATTAAAAAAAGAAATATGCAAATAAGGTACCTTACACAAAATTTTATGAAAAATTACATAAAAAATTAACCCTTTTTAAAATAACCAAAATTACCACAATTAGAATTTTAATTTAATTATCACTGTTACGTACAGCTGTTCAGGAATCCAAAAGCTGATACACTTTTATAATAAACAATAGTCAATTTATAATATAAATCAATTGTAGTTTTATTAAAACCAATAATAATTGATATAGTCGTGTTGAATTGTAATGTCGGGAGTTGACTCGTTGTAGTAGTTGATAATCTCCATGTAAGTTGTGTGTAATGGCTGGTGCATAAGCGGCTCGCTTGGTCTTGGCGGCTCTGGTACATCTAATGTGTATTGGGGCCTGGCCTCTATACAGGGTGTCTCAAACAGTACTGACATATGAAATAACTTTTTTGGTATTCGATATTTTTTTTTGTTTTATTTGTAGACGCTTGCGCTACATGTTTTATAAAAAAAAAAATTTTTTACTTTTTTAATTCTGAAAATAAAAAATTTAAAATTTTATAAAAAATGTATTTGAAAAATTCAAAATAGCCAATTTATAAAGCCGATTTTTAGAAAAATTTTGATGATTCAAATATTTATAAAAGTGTTGCCGTTAATTTTCTACAAATTATTTAGTTTTTGGAAATATGAAAAATTTTTTCCTTTATATCATAATATAAAATAATCAACAATCATCAGTCATCACTGATACCTGATTAGACGTAGTAATCACTATTTATTTTCATAAGAGTTTTTATCAGTTATCACCATTTACACCAGCAGCTAATGCACAGAAATAGATAAGAGCATTACTGAGATAATAAAATTACTGGTTAGGTAATAGTAAAAAAAAAACTTTTATGTTACTACGTTTAAAAAGGTTTAATAGAATTAATAACAATAATACAATAATGACATACATGCATCAACAATATTTAGTTCAGTAATCAGTTAATTCAGTTGCTACCTAATATCTATTTTAAATAATTTTCAAAATGCCCACCATCGTTTTCTGTACGTTTTTCATATCGCTCTAATATTGACGATGTGACCGACTTTAACATTTGTGATGTGACTTTTTTACATGCTTTAGTGATGCGCTCTTTTAAATCATTCAGAGAAGTCGACTGTTCTGAATAAACGTTATCTTTTAAGTAACCCCATAAAAAAAAATCTAAAGGAGTTAAATCAGGAGATCGTGGAGGCCATTCCAGTGGACCACGGGTACCTAACCAACTTTGTGGAAAATGCTGGTTCAAGTAATCTATTACTACTTTTGCATTATGAGCAGGAGCACCATCTTACTGTATCCACATTGTTTTCCGAATTTCAAGAGGGATACACTCCATCAATAACGGCAATGTATTTTCTAGAAACTCTAAATAACGTTGCCCACTTAGAGTGCCATCATAAAAATATGGCCCGACCAATTTATTTATTTATTTTATTTATAAAATCATAAATGTTAAAATTGAATAAATTAGTTATAATACATAATACTTTGACTATACATTTTTAATATTACCTGTAGCTTTTAATGTTTGTACAACATTTGTAATTGTGGATCGTGAAGGTTGTCTTCTTTTGGGAAATTTTTGTAGGTATAAGCGACATGTTTGAACTGTACTTTTACCACTAGTATAAAACATTTCTATCATGTCAGAATACTCTATATTAGTATAAGTAAGCGGCACATTATACATGTATACATGTATACTAAGAAGTATTTGCTTTTATTTTTTAGAACTTGCTTAAACAAAAATTGTTGACTTGTGAGAATAAAAAAAGTGGTGTCAATGATAAAAACAAATCGGTAACAGTTATTTTTACCTAAAAATTGACTTATTAAATAAATGTAGGTGGACGGGCTGATAGCATATAATAATAGTATGCGCACCAGTGGTGTAGTGGAGGGTATACGCGGGTATACGGCGTATACCCAAAACGCTAAAATTCTTATTTGCGTATAGGAAAGAAAATAAAACAAATACGCGGGTATACGGTGGTAGTCTTTTGGATGATAACCATATTACCACAATTTATATAAAAATTTCTGATTTTTTTTTTATTATTATCATTAGGTACACCAAATAATATTGGGGTATCAGAAATCAGAATAGTTAATTATGATCACTGTTGTAGACATCATAATCCGTGATTATGATTAATTATAAAATTATAAGAAATAGGAAAAATTAAAATTGTCCAAACGTCATAACTTCACAAATTACTCGTGGTTTATTTATTTATCATTAGAAGTTATTAATAAACTATAAACATTGAATACTAAGTAAACATAATAAATTAGGAAGGGACTAGGTACCAGATATTGATAATACAAGTTTGTAATTTATTATATTTAAATATTTAATTTAATAAAACAAATATTTAAAATTAAATTAAATTAATATTACGACGACGGCAATATGGCATCAAACAGTAAAAAAAGAAGTATAAACGATTTCTTTTCAAAAGTAGCAAAAGCAAAGCCAAATAGTATCAAGGTAAGTTACTTTATTATATTCTTGTAGTTGGACGTTTGCAGGTATAGAATATGATTATTTACATTATATATGATTATTTACAGTAAAAAATTTTGAGGCGAAGTTACATAAAAACCATGTTAATACTGAATATATTTTCCGAACTGCATATTACATCGCTAAATATAATAGGCCATTTGACGATCATTTTAAATTAATTGAACTTCAAAAAGCTAATGGAATTTCTTTAGGATCAATTTTACATTCTAGATACTCTGCTACTACAATTATAGATCATATTGCTACTAAAATGAGAGAGCAGTTAGTTAAGAATATTATCGATTGTAGCGCCAAATTGTCAGTACTTATTGACGAATCCACAACTTTGAGTTCAAAGACAAGCATGGTTGTTTATATTAAATCTGCAATATCTAATGATGATCCTATTTTTATGTTTTTGGATCTCGTTGAGCTTGATAATCAATTAGCTGTCAATATTGTTGATAAACTACTAGCTTGCCTTCATAAATGTGGCTTTGATGAAACATTTCTTCAAAAAAACTGGGTGTCATTTGTCAGTGATGGGGCCAGTGTTCTCCTAGGTAAAAAAAATGGAGTAGCCAAACGCCTTAAAGATAAATATCCATTGATATTTAGTTGGCATTGTATGAACCACAGACTAGAGTTAGCTGTCAATGATTCAGTAAAAGATGTAACTGCCACAAATCATTTTAAAGCATTTTTGGATAGTCTTTATGCTTTATACAACAGATCACCAAAAAATCAAAATGAACTTAAAACGATATGTACTGAACTAGATATGATATTTTTAAAAGTTGGCAGGGTTAAGTGATGTTTAGCACTTTTGACCGCGCTTTCCCATAAGCCGCCAAAATGTGGAGCAGAGGGCGGGTTGAAATGCCATTCAACACCTTCCTTGGCTAATACAGGTATACTTTGTTGAATTGGAATGTTGAGCTCCTTCTGGGCGCCCACGAAGTTAGTCCCATTGTCACTATATATTTTCACACAACGTCCCCTCCGTGCCATGAAACGCCTAAGTGCTGCTACAAAGGCACTACTGGATAGATCCTCTACTACCTCTAGATGAATAGCTCTAATTGAAGAACAGACAAATAGTGATATCCAGGCTTTTGTTCCGACAATTCGACGTACTCCACTTCGGACAATTAATGGCCCTGCAAAGTCAACACCTGTTACAGCGAACGGTGGTGAGACATTGACTCTTTGCTGTGGCAGTTGACCCATTAGCGGCTGTGCGAATTGTGGCCTTTTTCTAGCACATCTTACGCACTTTGATATAACTGATCGTGCTGTAATCCGTCCCTTAATTGGCCAGTATACACGTCTTATGTCAGCCAGCAGTGACTGTGGCCCACAATGTAGAAGTTCCCGATGCTTATTCTCAAAAATTAGCTTTGATACTCTATGACCATGAGGCAAAACTATTGGGTGCTTTTGGCGCTCAGGGATTTGGGCGTTACCTAATCGTCCACCAACTAAGATCAAGCCGTCTTCTAAATACGGTGAGAGTCCCTTTAGCTTGCTATTTCTTCCTACATCATTACCCTTTTTCAGTTCCAACATCTCTCTTGCAAACACCTCCTTCTGTACCTGCTTTAGCACTGTTATCTCTGCTGATTTCAGCTCTGATACAGTTAGATATTTGGGCACATCCAAGTTCTTTTTCGCCTTTAGATATCTTAGGAACCTCGAAATCCATGCCACTGCACATAGCAGATCCCGCCAATTGGAATAGTGCTGGAAAAGGTTGCCTAGTGGATTCACTGCCAACAATGCTAGCTTAATCTTACGCTGCTCCGGCAGGTCCTGATTCTGGTTTGTAATGATTGATTTCTTAAATTCATCTGACTCTGACGCTAACCAATGTGGTCCCTGCCACCATAGGTTCATGTTCTGAAGATTATTCGGCGTTGTTCCTCGAGAGAGAATATCAGCTGGATTTTCGGTTGTTACGACATGCCTCCATTGCTCTGGCTGCGTAGTTTCTAGAATCTCTTCTACCCGGTTGGCCACGAATGTTTTTAATCTACAAGTTTGTGAATTTAGCCATCCGAGTACTACCATAGAACCAGTCCATAAGTAGAATTTTTAACATCTATATCTAAGGCCTCGGACACTTTTATCGATAACTGAGTGAGTGTTAATGCTCCTCCAAGCTCAAGCCTTGGTATTGTGGAGCCCTTTAATGGCGCGACGCGTGTCCTCGCACAAAGTAATCAGGAATGCCAGTAGCCCGTATAATCCTTACTTCGTACGTAGATTGCAGATCCATAGGCCTCTTCTGACGCGTCGCAAAACCCATGGATTTCCACTTCCACAGATTGGTACGGTATACACTTTCTTGGAATAGGTAGATAACTAAGATCATTAAACTCTTGGTAAAATGTATACCATCTATTTGACAATTCCTCTGGTAGCTGTTGGTCCCATTCTATTTTCAACTGCCAAAGCTGTTGCAAGAATATCTTTCCTCTTACCAGTACAGGCGCCAGGAACCCTAAAGGGTCAAAGATTCTATTTAGATCAGATAGTAGCGTTCTTTTTGTCGACTTAGGCATAAATGCTTTCTGCTCTACTATGAATTGAAATGCGTCCAACGCTGGCTTCCAGCTAAGCCCCAATGATTAGTGCAAATAACGGATCATCGCTTGAATTTCCAATGCGTTCTAAGACTTCAGTTGAATTTGAACACCATTTGCGCAAGGGAAAGTGTGCTGATTCTAGAATTGAGTCGATTTGCTTCTGTAACTGGCAGCACTCATCAACTGTGCTGGCACCGGTCATTAAATCATCCATATAAAAATCATGGCGTATGATTTTTGACGCTTCTGGGTGTTTCTGTTTTGCTTCTTCGGACAGTGAGACAAGACAATTAGTTGCCATAAATGAAGCTGAAGTTGTGCCATAGGTTACGGTTGAAAGTCGATACAGTTCTAATGCTTTATCTGGCTGCGATCTCCAAACTATCCTTTGCCAGTCTTGGTCTTCTTCAGCTACCCTTATTTGTCTGAACATCTTCTCCACGTCTGCTGTTACGACAACCTGATGTTTACTTAATCGCATCAGTATTGTAACTAAATCAACCTGAACAGTTGGACCACACAAAAGTACATCGTTCAAGGATAAGTTTGAAGTACTTTTGGACGACGCATCGAATACGACCCGTAACTTAGTTGTGAGACTCGATAACTTCATCACTGGATGATGTGGTAGATAGAATGCGGCACTTGGCTGGTTCTCTTCCTTGCTCACTATTTTCATATGTCCCATTTTTAAATACTCTTCCATAAATTGAGTGTATTGAAGCCGCAGTTCTGGTTCACGCTGGAGTCTCCGTTCAACGCTGAGAAATCTAGCTGTCGCCATTTCTAAGGTTCTTCCGGCGGTACGTGCAAATCCTCAAATTTGATGGACGTTAAAATGATGAATGGTGAATTGGTGGGTACATTGATAACACAATAACGAGAATTTTTGAATAATAATAACAAGCGTCAAGCTTACTAAAATAATAACAGTTATTAATAATATAATAATTTATTTATTAGAACTCAAATGATTCAACTATACTGATTGCTAATACTGACGAAAATCAGAGGAAAAAATAATAAAAGTACTATAACTTTATAAGCCATTTTGATAACAGGTATTTTGTGATTTGTCATCAATGATATTAGTAAATGATAACTGAAAACATATGAAAACTCGATAAACAAAATAAATCGATAATAGTCATTAATACTAGTAACAGTGATGAATGATGATTGATGATTATTTTGGTATGATAAAGGAAAAAATTATTCATATTTCCAAAAACTAAATATATTGTAGAAAATTAACGGGAACACTTTTATAAATATTTGAACCGTCAAAATTTTTCTAAAAATCGGATTTATAAATTGGCTATTTTGAATTTTTCATATACATTTTTTATAAAATTTTAAATTTTTTATTTTCAGAATTAAAAAAGTAAAATTTTTTTTGTTATACAAAACATGTAGCGCAAGCGTCTTTAAATAAAACAAAAAACAAAAAAAAAAAAAAATCCTAAAGAAAGAAAAAATTTTACTTGAAAATAAATAAATTTCATATTAATCTAAAAAAAAAAAATATTAAATAAGGAAATTATTTAACTTACCTATAGAATTCAAAAAAAAAAAAAATCAAATTCTAAAAAACAAAATTAATACTCTTAAAATTGTAAACTTTAATTCTAATAAAATTAAATCAAACTTATAGAATATAATCATAAAAAAAGAACCAAAATATAATATAATAAAACTAATAAATACCATAGGTACTAATAATTAAGATTTTTCTTTCAAATTTAATAATTATTAAATAATTAAACATACAAAAATGTATTATTATCAAATAATAAATTAGGTACATTATTGAATAAAAAAAGTTAAAAAATTAAAAAAAAATTTTAATTTATTATTAAAAAATACATTAAATCTTTAGAATAGAAACTACAAAAAAAGGAAAACCACATAATAAATGTTCATAGTCTTTCGCAGAACTTAGTGATAAGTGTTGCTGAAAATTATACTTAATAAGTCAATACCTACACATTATTTCGTCCCCGTTCATGCAAAACACACCAAGTCCAAAAACATGATTTTTGAGTATTGTAGTAAGCTAGTTACTACTTAACAAATAAAACAAATTCCACAGGTACATAATTAGTATACTATACTGTAATTCGGCATAAATCGGATATTAGAATCGGAAATATAATTTCCTACTGTTTAACATAAGAAGACAGGCTCACTGAATAATATAATTACTCAGGAAGCCCTGTATACGACAATGTTCAAATATAAAATATAAAATAGTAGAGTGATTATTTTAATTACAACGCTGTACGCGACGATATTCAATATAAAAATATAAAAGAGTAGAATGATTATTTCAACTAAAACATAGATTAGCATTTTACCAATACGTAGAATAATACTGGGAAGTCATAAAATGAGTGGGCTGGAACGATGGTCACACAGATCACATCCGTGAGCCGAGATACAGTATCTATAGGCAAGGGGTACGGGGAACTTCATATAAAAGGGAGCCCGAATCGGCCTGTTTTCAGACGTGTACTACCATCCACTAGTGCAAGCACCTTCACGCCACTCTGTACAACATTATTTGGACTTAGAAAATTATCGAACGTTAAAATAAAATTCACAATAAATAACATCTGTCTTTTATTTATTCATCAACCACGACTTCAACATCAAATAAAGTGTCTGCGACCTGCATCTATAATAACTTGGTAGCCACTTATCTACTATTAGTACTACGATAGTAGGTACCAAGCACCAAGATTATTACACTGGCGCAGTCGAACAAAGGAGGTTCAAGGAGCTAAAGACGAGGCGAGCAGTCAAAGCGGCGGATTTAAATTTCCAAAGGCGAGTCGAGCAGTCAAGGCAGCGGATTTCAACTTCAAAGGCGAGTCTAGCAGTCAAGGCGGCTACATTCAACTTCGGAGATCCAGTCCCGACGCAGCGGCTACACCACGTCAGCAGCTCCACGGAGGTACAGTCGTACAGACGTACTCATCCATTTCAACGTACGACGCGCGTTAACGTAATTTCTTTTTATTATTTATGCATGATAGTTATTTTATAAGTAAAAATGTTTACGTATTATTAATTTTGGTGACGGTAGTTAAGTATTATTAGTTTATAGATTAATAATAGTATATATACGTAGAGTAAATACTGTTGGTAATTACTTACGCGGATAGGAAATTAATAAATTTAGTAGATATAATTTATTGAAAATGATATATATGTAATGTCTAGA